GTTCTTTACTGTGAACTTAGCGGTTAATTGGATGGACAGACTGCTTCCGATTATTTTACCATAATTTTCGAAGGAAAATTCTAACAGTGTACTACTGGACCTTAAAATTCATTATTTTAGCATCACAACAGTTTTTTTTTCTTAGTTTTTTCCTATAAGGTAAGATTATTGCCCAGTGGTTTAGAGGAGGCAAATATCCTCCGTACATGGAATTTGCGTCTGTCCATAGGAGGAAATAAACTGATTCTACTAAGAAACTAGAATGTTGGCATACAGAATGCCGTCATTTATTACCGTAATTTGATACGGAATTTGCTACAGTGTAGTTGCTATGGTTGTTAAGTATTGTTATGGATTTGTTTTTCTCACGTTTAATTCAATTTCATAGCGAGAAATCGGTATGTTGTATTAGTACTTTTCGTTTCCCAAAAAAATTTTCTATCTTTGGAGATAATTAGGCACCAATTTTTGTTTAGAAATGAATTTTAATTTTTAAAAATAAAAATAATAAGTAAGTAAGAAATCGTATAATAAAATAAAGTAATGAAATAATAAACAAATAAATAATTAAAAAAAATAAGTTGAGAAAATGATTATTTAGAGATCGAATTTTTTTTAAATCTCCAATACGGTCGTTTCGTAAATCTTATTTTTTATCTAGTTATTTTTATCTTTTGTTCAAAATGCTTATTTTAACCTTCAAAATATTTTTATTTTACCCTTTGAGCGGCTGATACAAATTAAAAAATACTGCCTTTTTTAATAAAATTTTTTCTTTAAAATTCCAAGTTTTTTATTTTGAAATCCTTAATAACTCTCAAAAAAAGAAAAATTCGTGTAAATTTTCTATTAAAATTGCTTCAAATTTGAAGATTTTCTTTAAATACTTATTAGCCAAAAATAAGGCAAATTTTTTTTTTTTTTTAACTTTATGGTTAGTTCAAAATGCTCTTATTTGTGAATTAAATGGAAAATAATAATAATAATAATTTTTTGCCGAAATTATATTTGGATATTGCATTATAATAAATGCTTACAAAAATTGTTTCATTAGTTGTAATAAAAAATCAAGTAAAATTAAACACAAACCTTCTTTAATTTTTGATAACTGTCTTGACTAAACTCCTCAGACGATTGCATTACCCCCTCCCCCAGCTCATATTTTGAGTGTCAAGAGTTCAAACTCATTCACAAAGTTGCAAGCGTATTCCGGAAAATCAAAATCAAATGTTTATTACTTGCACTAGTAATTATTACCCCATACTGATCAGCATATCTTCAATGTGCACCTAAACCATTAAGATTGCACTTTAGTACTCGAAAATCGTATCTTTAAATCCTAATAAGTTCAAAGTACATTTTTAGTGCACTATTCAACTGGATGTTTGCAAGCGACGTCACGCGGGGTTAGCCAATGAGATTCGACGCACATACGTGACGTCGCTTTGCATGTATCTAATTAAATATGTTTCGAAAATTGATTCAGCGTGATAATAATCCCAAACCTCAAAGCTGTCAAGTTTAACACGTCGCACAACATCGAGATTAGTCACAGCCATACGATTAGTTGCAAGTACCCAATTAATGAAACACTTTGTCGAATTCTAAATCTTTTTTCTTTTCTTTGCTGAGACACGTCAATTCTTTTAAAAATTGTATTAGTTAAAATGAAATAAAATCTTCTTTTTAAGAGATTAAAAGATTGAAGCAAATAAAATTTTAGTTTTGTCTTATAACGTTGTTGAAAATCATAATAATGCATTCAAAATTTGTTTATACATTAAACAGAATACTTTTAAGATTCCTAAAAATTGGAAAACAGAAAAAAAAAAGAATTTTCTCAGGAAAAAAAAGCATTTTATTGATTTTTTAACGGCACAGCAAACATCATTCTCTAACCTCAACAGTACTTGGTTTTCAAAATACAAAATAAATAGAAAGATTATCTGTTGTCTGAAGCACTTTTACCAAACACCACAAATGAAGTCCATCTACTGACTTTAACTGTAATCTGGGAAATTCCCTAAGTATCTAAACGGCTTATAGACTGCGAAAAAAAAGAAAAAAAAAAGAAAAAGAAAACATCCGTTAGCTGTTAGGAAAGTTTTGATAGTGTATTATCAAAACGAACTGCATTATCCCTACCAAAATATCTTTGGCAAAAATACGTTGGTATCTTTTATGGACGCAGGAAATGCCCAGGATGAGAGAAAAGAGTGTTGCAGTTTTCCAGGGGTGGGGAAAGGAATAGATCGGGATGCGTCAGCTCATTCGGGAAAAGAATTCGAAACACCCCCAAGCATCCTGCAAGTTCTTTCCTGGATTTATCGTTTCGGGCCATGTGCGCACCAAAATTTTTGTCGATACCTTTATGAGGGTTTTTTCTTCTATAGAATGTGACCTTTATTAAGTGACTCTTATGCCTTCACTAGATCGTTAAAGTAGTTTTCTGTTCGTATAGTTCTTTCTTTATGTAAAAGATTTTCGAAATCTTTCTTTTAATTTTTATTGTTATTATTTTTTGATGAAAGAAGAGATAATTTTTAAGTGGTTGAGATAAAATTGATTTGTTTTTTTAATATTTATTTTGTCCCTTTTTTTCGAGTTGTGTTTATCTATTATAAAAATCTATATGCTTTTCGCTTTTGTAAGGTTACATAATTTATATTAAGAACGGCTAGCACATTAAAAAAAATAATGAACTAAAAATTTGCGAAGTTCTTTCTCAATTTAATTATTTTAGTACAAAGAATAATAAGTTGATTATCTTTTAATAGCTGAAGGATAATTAGAGTTTTTTTTAACTAAATAGATAATTAAATAAATGAATTTCTTTTAAACAAATAAATAATATCTTAATAGAAGCTGTTGTGCGAAAATCCTTTACATTATGACCACCCTGCAAATAACATTTAAGGCCCCTTTAGCCCTCAAAACTGCAAGCACCCGCCGTGGCATTGATTCCACAAGGTGCTGATAGGTAGTCTGAGATATCTGGTACCAAGCGCTCACCATCTGGTCCTGCGATTCCCTCACATTGCGGGGGGTAGCGTGGCAGCACGAATTTGGCTTTCCAAGTAGGACCACAAATGCTCTATTGGATAAAGGTCAGGTGAATTTGGAGGCCAAGACGTGACTTGAAAGTCACTGGAATGTTCCTCGAACCAATCCATGACGATTCGACCCTAATGACATGGTGCATTGTCCTGTTGGTAAACACCATACCTCGCAGGACAAACTGTTGCCATGAATGGGTGAACCTGGTCTGCAACTATGTTCAAGTAGCTTACAGACGTCAGAGATTGTTACATGAGGATTATGGGTCCTGATGTGCCTCATGAAAACATTGTTCCTGGGCGAGAAACCATGAAAACCTGGGCGAGCCCATTGTTATAGATGGAGGGTGGTCATAATGTAATGGCCCTTCGGTGTATATAGGTCTAATAAATAAAACAATGATTCATTAAAGTTATTACCTAAAATACATTTTGATAATAATAAAATGAAATCATTATTAAAAATAAGGTTTTTTTATTATAATTTTTTTTAAATAATAAATAAGGTTAATAAATTCCGGATATGACCTATATCTCTTATCCTGCAGCTGCTTCATATTTGATACCCAGTAATGGTATCTTGTTTCATGCATTGTACCCGTAACTACAGTTGTAACCGTAGAGGATGAAGTGAATTACTTGCCTATTATCAATCAATCAATCACCGAAAATTGTGATCGTATCTTTGTTTCGATTAATGACTTATGAAATCAGAGGTATATAGTAAATAATTGGTTGTAAGCCTATATATAATTTTTGAATAGTTCATTGAAGTGACATGCATAAATGCACTTCTAGGAATCGATATGACGGTATAGGTTGCCATATGAACATAGTTGCCATATGAGCTATTGGTTGAAAAGTTGATGTGGGGTAAAGGCCTGTTTACACGGTTCAAGTTCTTGAATCCGAGAAATTGGTAGAATTTCTCTGTCCAAGAAATTGGATGATTCGCCGACACTATCCAAGTTCTTGAATGTCACTGATTGGCCATCAGAAGAAAAACTTGCGCTTGCGCATTGTTCATATTCATCATTATAAAATCATACTTACATAACTTTAAAATTATTGAATAAAATCATAATAACACAAATAGACCGTAACAGATTAACTTATTTTCACTAAAATATATGAAAACAAACAACAAAATGACACAATCTGATGTCTGCTTGTTGACTTCACAAAACTTAAGAAGCTGATCGGTTAAGGGAGGAAAAACTTGGATGGAAAATAGAACATGCTCTACTATCGTCCAAGAACTTGGATCAAGTACTTGGGTGATTGTTTACACGATCCAAGCTCAAAGCAAAACAAGTTTCCATCAATATCAATCAATCTCAGTCCAAGAAATTGGAGCGTCTAAACAGGCCTTAAGACCGGGTAGCTAGGATTTGAAGGTCTGTTTGAGCTATACTGTTCGACCTAGACCAACACCTCCTAGAAGTATGAAGGCCTCAGCACGGATCAATTTTGTAGTCCGATGTGACGAAGTTAACTGCGCAGTTGATGAAAAATAAGAAAGATGTCATTACGTTCGGGGTACTAAGCTGCGCAGTGGTTGAAAATACGGCGTATGTCATTACGTTTGGACTACTAAAGGATATTTATGGTAACCCGTGCAGAGGCCTACTCTTTTCTAGGAGGTGTTGCCTAGACACTGTCAGAATCAAGATATTTATTGTTTAGTTGTGTACAATAAATCCTTATTGAAAAGTCATAGGTGTACTGCTTTTCTTATAAATGGAGCTTGGCTAGTCGAAAGTTTGCCGATTTCAAGATTAGACGAATCGTATCCAAGTGGCAATGCCATGCAATGGTGAGGTGTTTTAGTTGTTTTAATAATGCTATTTAAAGTTAACTTTTTTTTAAAGTTTCGTTATAGTACAAAGTTTTCCAAACACGTGATAGTTGTTTAAATACCAATATATCTTATTAATGACTTACCTCCTGGTGTCAACAAAAAATTAGGTTTCTCGGGTTTTGTTGAGGCCGTGATAGAAAGATCCAGTAGCCTCTGCATGCTATCAAAGTTGAAATATCCGATAGAAACACCGCCAGATCTGGATTTTGGCGGTGGTGCCTCTTCGACCATTACTATTGGCTGGCTTTTGGCGTTTGATGGCACAGTAGAGTTGTCATCATCATTGTCAAATGAATCCGGTGCTGATTGTGTATTCTTCCGGACAAAGTTTCGTTTTCGGCGGTTACTATTTTGGCGTGAGGGAGAAGAAGATGCTGGAGGGGGTGTTTGAGGGGATGCATCACTTGGAGGAGTATCTGTTCTGGAAGAAGGGGCACTATTCAAGCTCAACTATAAGAAATAATAAGAAAAAAATAAACAATTATTATTGTAAAGTACTACATGATTCATAGGCAAGTATTTAAATTCGTTGAATATAGATGTAAATCGGGGAGAACTGAAAAATATTACAAGTGTTGATGTTTAAGCCCAATAAAAGTCTAATACATCTCCTCTAATGTAAGATTTGGTTGCCCTTTTTTATTCATTGAAGGTAGGAGGTCAAAGAAAAAGATATTTAAACCTTGCTATCTTGAAAGGTTACATATTGTTTCCTATTGTCATTGAATCAAATGAGGACAAAACCTATTACATGGTTTAAGTTTGAAAATTTTAGGAATTTAGTATGTACTATATATAATAAGAAACATAATATTTTCCTCAAACCTATTTAAGCTTCTGATAAAAGTATTCATACCCTAAAGATCCTTTGAATTTTTTAACACTGGATTGAATAAGATAAAATTTAAATCGATTTAAATATATATATATATAT